ATCGGTTCCCTCTTTCCCACCCACTCTCTCTGTACACTCCCAGTATCGCCACTCACACCCCTGGCACTGAAGGGCTCATCTGGGTCTGGTTTTAACAAGACTCAAGCTCAGCAGTCAGCTCACCACCCACAGGGTGGAAGGGGCACTGGAACTCAGTGAATGCAAGGTGGAGTTGGGACCGCGGACCCCAGGGCGGACACCTTCTCTGCTAGGTCCCACTGCTCCGTTAGGTGCCACCAGTCAGTTCTGGTCCTAAGCAAGAGTGTCTTCATGGAAGTGCAGAACCCCCCACACCCACAGATTTGTCATTCTCTCCCCCAAAGTGCTGCCGCATTCATGGTACCTGTCACTGCTGTTCCTGAGGGCTGGCTCATAGCCCACTGCGTGGGGTTTGTGGCCTGCTCCAGGCTCATGGCAGCCAGTCTGAGCCACATACCTGAGCTCTTTAGACCTGGAGGTGCTGGCCCCTCACTGTGCTCCCGGAGTAGGGAGGGGCCCTGGCCAGGACACTTGCCAAGTTCACTTTGATTTTTCAGCGTTTTTGTTCGTTTTCACAAGTTTAATAGGTCAACTACTTGACTCACATATCTTAGACGTCAGTGTCACAGTTCTCCCTGTGACAATGGGCATTTGCTGACGGGGAAGGACAGGCCCAGGCCTGCCCCGTCACTGCAACACCAGCACCAGCACAGGGCCCAGTGGGCTGTCCCTGAAAGCGGGGACCTTTTCCAACTTCAGTGCGCTTTTCAGAATCGCTATTTTCGAGCTGCAAAGTAGAATCCCTGCTGGACATAGCACATGGGTGACGGGGTGTGTCGTCAGGCAACCCTCCAGTGATTTCAGCAGAGAGAACGGAGTGTCATGACTTGCTGGCTGGGCATGAAGTGGTCAGTACACACTGAGGTGCTTTCAGGTTGTGTCCTCTCATCATACTTAAGCCGTCTCTGCCGAGCGAGCACGAAACCAAGAAGCCACGGGGAAGAGAGACTTCTGAGGTCAGGATTTGAGGGAGACACGCTAGCAGCCAGCATGTGCTCTACAAATCACAGAACTCTTGCCCTTGGTGATCAAAGACCACAGCCTTCAGTATGGATTGCACTAACAGGCAGCATCATGAGGAAGCAAAGGGTGGAATTGTGGAGGATTACGTTTATTTGCACCTACATGTAATGTCCGTGGGCAGCTGTCAAGATCACATGACCCGTTGCACTGGACCACTCCCTGCAACAAGACCTGTTAAAGTGTTGAAACGCAAGGAAGCAGATTTAGGGCGCTCGCTGTGCGATGGATGTTCCCTTCCCTCACTTCCCACGCAGCATGCAGAAGCTGGGCGGGGAGGAAATCAGGAAGACCGAAGAATAGCTGGTGGAGGTAGAGAACGTTAAGCACACCAGACTGCCAGGGGAGCAGGTCTGCCTTAGCGCAGCTGAGCCGGAATGCCCCCTTGAAGGGAGATGGCCAGACCCCACCGCGTGAACTTTGGACGTGTCATTAGCAGGGACCGGTCCCCGAAGGAGGGCATCATGCTTGGTAAAGTAAGAGAGTTCGTGCTAAAGAGAAGCCTCTCAACAACATGGCCTAACACAGCAGCCTCCACGATGGATTCGTCCACGTGGCCGTCGTGAGGCTGGCACAGGACTGGGCTGTTCCGACGCTAGAATTCCATGGCACCCCTGGAGCAGCGACCTTCCTAGGGCCGTGGGAACAAAGGGAAGGAGTGGGGTTGATAATATCTGTCGGACCCTGCGGATGGGGGGTCGGGGATACGCCGGTGCGGAGGGCGAGGCAATGAAGCGGGTCTGGAGACGCTGGGAAAGCTACAAGAGGCTCTTATCCGCTGCAGCAATGGCACAAGGACCGGAAGCCATGGCAGGAACCGAGAGGAGCGGCTCCCCAGCCTCCGGTCCCTCTGGCGCCCCCACAGGTAGGAGCCGGCCTGGCACCGGTGGCCGACGGGGCGCAAAAAGCCAACCCCTGGCTCAGGAGCGCGGAGGCTGCTCTGGCGAGCTGGTCCCCTGTCGTCCCCCACGCGGCACGCAGGGAGCCCCGGTGGGGTCTGCGCAACCGGGAACGTCGTGGGGGCTCCTGCCGGCAGAAGTCTGTAGCGTGCGTGGGGCCAGGCCGGCACGGGAACGCGCCCAGAGGATCGGCCTGGAGCGCAAAGGCCTTAGGAGTGCGCCCAGGCTGCGCTCCACACCGGAGGTGCCCACGGAGAGAAACCGCCTGGCCGGGTCCAGGCGGTGCACGTGCAATGTCAACTTCCCGCAGCCTGGGGAATGGGCGGTGGCCAGGGGTGGGGGGAGGGATCCGAGCATTCACACTGCGGAGCGACCCAGGATACCCCCCTCCCGCCCCCCGTACATAAGGCCCTCTCTCACTGCCGCTGGGCAGGCCTTCATGGCCAGAGATGCCACAGAAGGAGGCCCGTGCGGGGGGCAGCGTCCAGACCTTCGTCCGGGGAGGAGGGGGTGCTATATGCTCTTCTCTGGAGCTCACGCCAGGGCGACCCCCCAGACACTCACGGGAAGTCACCCCAAGGAGAGCTGGGACAGAAGGAGGCTGTGCTTGGGGTCACCTTAGACTGACGGAGGAGTTTTCTAGATGGACATCCAGGGCTCCTGTGCGGAGAACCCGCCCACCTGCTGGGGACCGGGCTGAGCAGGAAGCCCCCACCTCCCGAAGTCCTAGGAGGCGATGTGCCCACCCAGGGGAGCCTGGAATCGGGTGGGTGGGCAGGGGGTGAGGGCTGTCTCCTGGGGCGGATGCAAGCCACACCCCATCGGGGACCCACTCTGAAGACCCTCCAGCCCCGGCTGCCCGCCCATCACAGCCTCACTTAGGAGCCCCGTTGGCGCCGAGGCAGTCAGCTCCCCACGGAGCAGTTCTGCTCTGTCCTGTCGAGGCCTGGCTGGCCGAGGGGGCCCCCAGAGCGCCCCGCCATGGATTCTGGGAGTCTCACTCGCTACCACACAGCTCCTGCAAACGACCGGATGGAGGATCTGCTCGCAGCCTCTCCGACCTTCCCCCGCGGGTCCCGAGCACCGTCTGCAGAGCCGCCTGCTGCTGAAACACCCGGGGAGCTCGCGCAAGCAGCGCTGCCGGCCTGGGCTGGAGCGGGGAGCCTGCGTTTCGGGCGAGCTCCCCTGTAAGGCTGGCCAGGGGGCACGGTCTTCTCCGCAGCCGGGAGCCGGCCAACTGCGAGGGTCCTCCCCGCAGCCTAGAGCGGCCGGCGGGGGCGGGGCCGAGGCTTCCGGATCCGGTCCGCGCGACGCGCTTCCCGAGCAGCGGTGAGTGGCCCCCGCCGCAGTGACCCCCGGGCTGTCCCCAGCCGATCCGGCCACAGCCTTTCTCTGGGCCTCCCCTGGACGCCGGGACAGCGCCCTAGCGCGGCCTGACCCCGCCGGCGCGCGCCTGCCCTGGGTGGCCGCCCACTGCGAGGCCGCCAGCCCGACACCCCTTGCCCGGAGGTCCGCCCCTCAAGATCGAGCGTTGACCGCGGTTTCTGTTCCGAGGCGCTGGTGCTGCAGACTGCTGGCGACCGGGGCTCTTAACCCGCAGCCTGGAGGCCAGAGACGCCTGGAAGTCAGCCAGCGGGAGCCCCGTGGGGCCAGTCGGGCTCTGACACACGTGGGGTCACCAGCCATTGGCACTGGCTGCGCAGCGACCAAAGGGTTTGGAAATCTCAGGCCAGGGTGAGTCCTCCCCTGCTCAAGTCCAACTTTGGGCTGGGAGAGGAAGGTGCTGGGCGGTGCCCAGCTGGGTCCCCAGCAGGATCCCACCGCGCCCAGCATGGCTTTCTGCCTTCCCCAGGGCCAACCTACAAAGCAGCAAGGAGCCGTGGCCAGCTGATGGCCACCCTGGCAGCTGCAGGCGGCGGCGCACAGCCCAACACTGAGCTTCGGGAGACCAGGATCCAGCCGCAGGGTACAACCCCTTAACCCCTCCATGCCCGGTCCTGCACACACATGGTGCAGCCCCCTGGCACCACCAGCCTCCCCCCTGAAGCCCTGTGCAGAGAAAGGCACTAAACCAGAAAATGCCCACTGCTGTCCAGGCAACTCCGGCTCCCGGTGGCCCTTAAGACAAGGTTTGGCCAGGTGACCACACGCTGACCAGAGCACCCCGCACACCACTGGTGCTTAAGTTAGCCTTGGCCGCTTCAGCTGGTGGGTGGGACACCAGCGTCCTGTTACAGGCTCACCACAGGGTGATGTGGACCCAGGCCCCGGGCCATGGCCAACCTCACACGCTGGCTTCCTGTTGCTGAAGTGGACACATGATGCAGGGAGGCCACCCGCAGCGCCCAGGGCAGTGGAGGGCTTGCCAGCATCTGGCCTCCAATTCCATGTGTGCTGTGTCCCGCACGGTGGCTGCTGGGCACCCAGCATCTGCCCGCCCTCCCTCACCCCTGCCAGGCCCATGTCCCCAGCCTGTACCCCATGGTGGTGGTGGTGGTGGTGGTGGTGGTGGAGGAGGAGGAGAGGTGTCATCCCAGCTGGGTTCCTTCCCTCCAGCCCCACCCCTGACCATTCGTGCCTCTGGGCTGCGGGGCCTTTATCCAGCCTCGCAGGTTAGGGCAGCGTGGAGCTGACCGCACCGCCCTTTATCCAGCCTCGCAGGTTAGGGCAGCGTGGAGCTGACCGCACCGCCGCGCTCCGGCAGCAGAAGGCGGTGGTGCTCCCTCTGTGCATGCTCCGCTGGGCGCCCGCGGGCGGTGCTGGGAACCGGTCAAAGGAAACGGGCTCTCGCCCTGCCCTGTGTTGCCCTCTGAGACTCGCTGCGACAGTGGGAAGCTGGGAGCTGCAGCGGTGGGGTGGGTTCCACCCAGCGTGGGCCAACCAGTCTGCAGGGAAGGCTACCTGAGCGGAGTGACCAGCCACCCCCTGCAGCCCCGCCTTTCCACTTTCCACCGCGGCCAGTGCTGCCGTGCACCCACTGGTGGAGTAGGGGGTGAAGGCCGCATAGATTGACAGGTGACACCCACCCCAGTAGCACTACCGCCTCCGCTGTTCCCTCCCTGCAGTACTGAACACGGGGGTCATTGTGGGGTCGCCTCTCTTACAGTGTGGTGACACCCCAGGGCGGCACTGTCGCCTAGACTGGCCAGTTGAAGCGCTTTGCTGGTGCCCACGCGGCACAACCTCATCCAGGGATGAGAAAAAGAAAAAAGGCCAGGGCTTCATTTCGTGAGCCAGCGCAGGGGGAAGAGGTGGAAGCCATGCGCAGCCACCTAGTGCGCTGGGGGGAGCGGGCAGCGCCCAGGGCGCAGGAGCCTGGAGGAAACCCAGCCGCCAACCCATCTTGAGAGAAACTTTGGTGGTGCCGTGGGGGGTCAGCAGTTCCAAACCACCAACCGCCCTGCGGTAGAGAGACGAGGCTTTCCACTCCCTCAGGTTCACAGCCTAGGAAAGCCGCTGTCCTCCCTGCCCTTTAGGGTCACCGTGAGCCAGAATCGGCTTGATGGCAGTGTGTAGGCTGGTGGGTGGGTAAGGCATCACGATGTTCTTCCCTGAGTCACACCGTGGCCTTGTTCTCACAGAGCCGCGGAAACCAGCGTCTTCCCCCTAAGCCACTCCTCCCCGTCGCTGAAGCCCTTGAGGGAGGCAGCCTGTGGGGCCTGTCTGTGACTTCTCGGAGCTGTGCACCTCTGTGACCCCATGCTATGGCCAGGGCCTCGCTGCCCAGTCCACCCACCCACCCACCTCCTCCCCATCTTCCGGTCCCTAATGTCCTGTCCCATCTCACCACTCCCTGTTCCATAACAATCCCCTCCCTTCTGTTCCACCCCACCCATCTGCCTGGCCCCGGCCCCATCGGCACGCCTAGCTAGTCCTCGCTGCCCCCTGTGCTGTCCTGGCCCCCACCTGACCAGCTCCATCCCGGCTCCCTGGTCCTTTGGGTCGAGATGAATGGCCTCCCTGAGCCCTGAGACTTGTCCTTCTTTCTGGTTTCAGACCACGAGGACGCGGCTCGCAGCGATGGGCCCACGCTGAAGCAAGAACCCCCAGAAGAGGCGGAGCCCTGGGGTCTCCAGGGCGGACCACCGGGCGGGGAGCCGGCCAGGCCCTGCAACACAGCGGCTCCGAGGCCGAGGCAGGCCGCCCCTGGGGAGCCGCGCCGCCGCCGACATGGGCCCAGAAACAAAGCCAGTTCCGCGCCACCCCTGGGGGCCCCTCAGGAACCCCCCGCGGAATGTGGCCCTGCCACCACGTGTGAGCCAGGAGGTGGCAGGTCGCCTGGGAAGGCCTCAGAGCGCAGGAGCCCGCGGGCGGGCAGCGGGGCGAAGCCGCACACGTGCCGGGAGTGCGGGAAGACCTTCGGGCGCAGGTCTGACGCCCTGAAGCACCTGCGCGTGCACACGGGGGAGAAGCCCTACGTGTGCGAGGAGTGCGGCCGCGCCTTCGTGGATAGCTCGCACTTCACGCAGCACCTGCGCGCCCACCGCGGCGAGAAGCCCTTCGCCTGCCCCGAGTGCGGCCTGGCCTTCAGCCAGAGCTCCAACCTGTCGCAGCACCGGCGCGTGCACAGCGGGGAGCGGCCCTTCGCCTGCCCCGAGTGCGGCCGCGCCTTCAGCCGCAGCTCTTTCCTGCGGGAGCACCAGCGCGTCCACACCGGCGAGAAGCCCTTCCGCTGCGCCCGGTGCGGAAAGGCCTTCGGCTTGAGTTTCCACCTGCTCCAACACCAGCGGGTGCACGGCCCCGACTGAACCCAGGCAGGCACTCGCTCACGTGCCTATGTCTCCGTGAGTGGGCCGCAGTGCCAGCAGGCCAGCTGCAGGGGCCAGCACCAGAGGGGCACCTTATGCTTGCCCCTGCCCTTCCTCAGAACATCAGGATTGTGGACAGCACCCCCTGGTCACAGGGAACCAGGTGGAACCTGTCTGCCCATCCCCTATTGCTGGGGAAGACACACACAGTATGATCCCCTACACATCCGCCATCTGATCCCCTAGACACACACAGTCTGATCCCCTACACGCACATGGTCTGATCCCCTACACACACAGTCTGATCCCCTACACGCACATGGTCTGATCCCCTACGCACACACCGTCTGATTCCCTACACATACGCCGTCTGATCGCCTACATACACACTGTCTGATCCCCTACACACACAGTCTGATCCCCTACACACACGCCATCTGATCCCCTACACATACGCCGTCTGATCCCCTACATACACGCCGTCTGATCCCCTACACACATGCCGTCTGATCCCCTATACACACGCCGTCTGATCCCCTATGCACATACCGTCTGATCCCCTACATACACACTATCTGATCCCCTACGCACACACCGTCTGATCCCCTACATACACACTGATCCCCTACACACACACCGTCTGATCCCCTACGCACACACCGTCTGATCCCCTACATACACACTGATCCCCTACACACACGCCGTCTGATCCCCTACGCACACACCGTCTGATCCCCTACACACACACTCACACGCTGCAGGCCACTGCTTCCCTGTTGTTGCTCTTGGGTTGTCTCTGGCTGAGACACAGCGTAGCTCCCATGCATACACCACCCTAAACCACCTGCGCCCTCCGGTGAGTTTCCAGAGATGTAGCCTGCGTGGATCTTTGTAGCCACCACACTGCGGAGAGTCGGCCCTCCCACCACCCAGAGAGTTCCAGCTCTAGGAGCACCTGTGCAGGCCAGTGGGTGTCCCTGCCATCGGATGGTGTGAACAGAGCCTTCTTACTGCCGCTTCTGTCTCTGTAACTGTGTCTGAAAGCCATCCGGTATCCGCGTCCCCTGGCCCCCAGCCCAGTGTGAACCCATAGCAAATCTTAAAAGTCACAGGTCACTTTCTACTTGGTTTCAGAGCTGCATGAGTCTTTCTGTCTGTCTGTCTCCATCACACGGTGAGGCCCTTGCAGCCCGGCGGGGAGCCTGTGAAGGACAGGGTGGAGACAGCTCTGCTCACCTGTTCAGGTGAGGAGAAGAGCCATAGGTGCTCTGAGAACTGGCTGGTTGGGGACAGGCGCCCATTGCCCGTCATGATCCACCCAAGGGGACGTTACCTCAGTGCGCCATAACTCAGCCCCACCCTAGTTGCAGGGAAGCCTGGGCTTCTGTGTGCACTAGGTGCCAGGGTCCCCGCTGGTCCAGCCTCTCAGGAGGTTGGCCTCACAGAACCAGAGGGGATCTCTTAAGGCGGCCGCCCTCCTGCCCTTCCCCAGCGTGTGAGCCAAGGTGACCGGTGGTACACCCTGTAGGGTCCGGGTGGTCCTCAGAGTGGCTTCTCTGGCAGCACAGCTCTTGAGCAATCAGAGGGTGGGCCAGTGGGAGACTCGTAGCCTGAAAGGTCAGCGCCACTGCTCTGAGGGAAGTGGCCCCACCAGGGCTGTGTGGGCCTGCAGCCACAGATCCCCAGGTACATGCCTGTGACAGGTGTCCGGCACAGAAAGTGCAGATGTCACCGGGTCATGCAGGCGAGCGAGCTGTTAGGTTTCAAGACTGAAGGACACGATGCTGGGAAGAGCCCGCAGTGGGGGCATCTCGTGTGGAGGAGACGCCGTCTCTTCACAGGAAAAGCAGGATAGAAACAGTGACACTCGGTGGATGCAGCTGATAGCAGATTAGATAGCTGCCGAGCTCATCCATGAACTGCAAGGTGTATCCAAAGAAATCGGGAATGTGAAAGAGACAAGGGGGTGAAAAAAAGACCAAAAAACTGATGTGTTTGAGACTTTAGAGTAAAATGACCACCCTGGCACAGTTGAGATCAGAGCCCCAAGAGTGGGGAGGAAGATAATGAGACATTTTCAACCCAAAAAATGTCAAAGCAGAAAACAATTCAACCTTGAGGGCTGAGCCATCAGTGACAGCTAAAGTAGGAGACGGGTAGCCACGAGGCCTTTGAGAGCCTCCTGCGAGACCAGAGCGGTCACCACTCGGGCTCCGCAGGGCCACGCCTTTTTCTTCACAGTGACGCAGCTCAGCACTTGGCATGATCGGCTGCTGCTGCTTTTGACTGCGGAGTAAGTAACCCGGATTCACAGCCCCCGGAAGTGGAAGGCATATCTCAAAGGCTAGATCACCACGAGGCATGGCAGTCCCTGCCGGCCACAGTCCAAGTCAGAAGACCTTTGGTGAGTGTCTCTAGGCGTCTCCCACCACTGCTGCCCCCCCTCAGTCTTGCTGGCCGGCTGGAAGAGGCAGGTCAAGTCTTTCAGTGCACTTCAGCCGGTGGTGCTGGGACACCTGGGTCTCCCCATGCAGAAGCACGAGGTTGGATCCTGACCTCACGCCCACACCCACACGCTTCCACGTGGAATCAGACACCCGTGGGTGCTAGATCTGGAGCCTGGAAGGAAACACAGGCACCCGCGTGACCTTGGGGCAAGTGACAAAGGGGAAGACCAGATACACGAAGTTCATCCAAACAGAAAACTTTGGGGCTTGAAAGGACATCATAAAGCGTACAAAAAGCAAAACCCTGTAAAATTGACAAAGACATTCACAAATGACCAAACCCAAACTGTAGCCCTGGTTCATAGCAACGCGTGGCCGGGGTGGCGCCGCCTCTGAGGGTCTCCTTGGCTGACTGTAGGATCACGCTGCCACGTGCTTCCATGGGCCCTCCAACCGGTTAGTGAGCACAGTGCTTTGCCCCTGCACCACCTGATACGTACAGAGCCCTACAGCTCAGTGTGGACAGGACAGCTGGCTCGGAGGGAAGTGGGCAGAAGCCTTGAACAGACACTTCCCAACACAGCGACACGATGGCCGGTGGTGCGTCCAGCTGCTCCGACTCCTGGTGAGCTGACCACAGCAGGACGTGCTGCGTGTTCATTGCAGTGCTGCTCACAGGAGACACGACGCTGGCGTCCAGCCACAGATGAATGGGCACGTGAAACGAGGCCTGCTCGCACAAGGAACCCTCCCGAACCCACACTGTTTATCCTTGATCGCATTGGTTCTATCTCAGGGACCCCAGAGGGCAGAGGTGAACTGCCCCTGTGGTTCAAAGAGAAAGTCGCCTCTCTCCCAAGAGCAGCTGCTGGGGTCGAACTGCGAACCTTGCACTTAAGAGGCCCAGCATGTAACCTACTGCACCACCAACAGAGCCCCGTTCAGCCTTAAGGGAAACCGAAGTCCTGACACCCAGCTCTTGGGAGAGCCTCATCCACATCGCGCTTAGTGAGAGCGGATGGCTGGTCATGTGCCGTGTGACCCGCTGAGGGCAGGGAGGGAAGGATGGGGTCACAGCTGGCAGCTGCTTTGAAGGCCAGGCCCCACCTGGTGAAAGGTGAAGGACCGCCCAGTCCCACGCCTCATCCTCTTCAATTGGCTAGTGGGTAGGCATGATCTTGACAGGGCTTTGGCACAAGGCCCAAGTCAGACACCAAGGCCATGGCGGCCTGCCTCCCAGGCACCTCAGGGCCGGGCCAGCTGGGGCGCTCAGCCTGCTCGCACCTGTAGCTACCACTAGCTGGGGCTCCAAAGGCTGACTTGATGGTGCTCCTGAAGTTTCCTACAGACCCCTTCCGTGGGCAGTGGGGGTGGATGGCCAACCATACCCCTCAGGGCCTAGTCGCTCCACAGGCTGTGCTGGAGCAGTGTGGGGAGGCCCGTGTTCCTGTGATGACCCTCGCTCAATGTCCTCGTGTTGGGGTGATCCCCAGCACCTGGGACAGCCCTGGAGGCTGACTTGAAATCCCCTGTCTGGGATGCTGGATTGGTCTTAGTGTAGGGTCCCACGGCCACTGGGTGTCCTGACTGGGCACTTGGTGGGAGAGGGCTGAGCGAGCTGGTTGCCGGTGCCTGGGCGTTTGCCGCCGCTGGCCAGCTTGTCCAGCTTGGTGCAGGGCTGAGCTGAGGCTGGTGGAGGACGGCAACCGGCTCTGCCCAGGGCTGCGTGCCCGCCTGGGGGCAACGCTGACTGCATTGCCCTGCCGGCCTCAGCCGCTGCCTTGTCTGCATCCTCTGCTAACACCTAGTGGCCGCAAGCTGCCTGCTGGCTCCAGTTCCAGGCTCAGTGCCCCAAAGGCCAGGAGGTGCCTCCAAAGTACAGAAGGTGTACCAAACTTTCAGGAGGTACCTCCAAAGACCAGGAGTAACCCTCAAATCCACAGGGTGCCCCCAAAGAGCAGTTCATGTCCCCAGGCTCACAGGAAGTGCCCCAGATACACAGGAGGAGCCCTCAGACCCACAGGAGGTTCCGCAAACCCATAGGAGCCCCCGGGTTCCTTGAGGATGTGCAAGCCAGTGCTGGCAGGCTCTGCACACCTGCTCTCTGGCCATCTGGGCACCTGGGCGAGCAGGCCCTGAGTTCTGAAACTCGGTGATCCAAGCTGGGGATATGGACCTGCCATCAAGCCCAACACCCTGGGGTCCAACAAGAACTGAGCGGGGGACCAGGGTGGAGGGCCAGGCCTGCAGGCCTGCCAAGATCCACAGGGGCCATCTCCAGCCTGCTGCTCCGAGGTCACGGCTGGCTTCACTCTGTTGCTCATGGGCCCCTTGAAAAGGGACCAACATCACAGCATAAGACACTGTCTCCCAGCACACTGAGCACACCACCCACCCAGAGAGGACATGCCACCCAGACCCAGAGAGGACACGCCACCCAGACCCAGACAGGACACACC